GTCCAGTCCATAGTCTAATCTATAGTCTAGTCTAATGTATAGTCTATAGTATTGTCTATAGTATATTCTATAGTATAGTCTATAGTCTAGTCTATAGTCTAGTCTATAGTCTTGTCTATAGTCTAGTCTATAGTCTTGTCTATAGTCTAGTCTATAGTCTTGGGTATAGTCTAGTCTATAGTATTGTCTATAGTCAAGTAGATAGTCTGTATTCTAGTTTATAGCCTGGTCTATAGTCCAGTATGTAGTCTAGTCTATAGTGTAGTCTATAGTCTAGACTATAGCCTAGACTATAGTCTAGTCTATATGCTAGTCTCTATTATAGTCTAGTCTAATATAAAATCTAGACTAGTCTATAGTATAGTCTGTAGTCTTGTCTATAGTTTAGTCAATAGTCTTGTCTATAGTCTAGTCTGTAGTCTTATCTATAGTCCAGTCTATAATGAAGTATCAAAAAGATCCCTGTTCCAGATTCTCATTCACTCAAGAAAGTACTTCATTTGGTATGTTTCAGTCCCATATGAATGAAATTCATAAAGTACCATTGAAGAATGAAAGAGTACTGAAAAGTAACTTTCTAAAGTCTTGTCTATAGACTAGTATATATATATATATATATACATATATATATATATATATATATATATATATATATGTAGAATAGTCTATGGTGTTGTCTATAGTCTAGTCTAGAATATAGTGTAGTCTAGCCTGGTCTATAGTCTAGTCTATGTTGTAGTCTATAGTCTAGCCTATATTGTACTTTATAGTCTAGTCAATAGTCTGGTCTATATTCTAGTCTATAGTCTAGTCAATAATGTAGTCTAGTCCATAGTCTAATCTATAGTCTAGTCTAATGTATAGTCTATAGTATTGTCTATAGTATTGTCTATAGTATAGTCTATAGTCTAGTCTATAGTCTAGTCTATAGTCTTGTCTATAGTCTAGTCTATAGTCTTGTCTATAGTCTAGTCTATAGTCTTGTCTATAGTTAAGTAGATAGTCTGTATTCTAGTTTATAGCCTGGTCTATAGTCCAGTATGTAGTCTAGTCTAAAGTGTGGTCTATAGTCTAGACTATAGCCTAGACTATAGTCTAGTCTATATGCTAGTCTCTATTATAGTCTATAGTCTAATATAAAGTCTAGACTAGTCTATAGTATAGTCTGTAGTCTTGTCTATAGTTTAGTCAATAGTCTTGTCTATAGTCTAGTCTGAAGTCTTATCTATAGTCCAGTCTATAATGTTGTCATTAGTCTAGTCTATGGTCTTGCCTATAGTCAAGTAGATAGTCCAAAGTCTAGTCTACATTCTGGTTTATAGCCTGGTCTATAGTCTAGTATATAGTCTAGTCTATGTTGTGGTCTATAGTCTAGCCTATATTATACTTTATAGTCTAGTCAATAGTCTGGTCTACATTCTAGTCTATAGTCTAGTCAATAATGCAGTCTAGTCCATAGTCTAATCTATAGTCTAGTCTTATGTATAGTCTATAGTATTGTCTATAGTATAATCTCTAGTATAGTCTATAGTCTAGTCTATAGTCTTGTCTATAGTATTGTCTATAGTGTAGTCAATAGTCTTGTCTATAGTCAAGTAGATAGTCTATATTCTAGTTTATAGCCTGGTCTATAGTCCAGTATGTAGTCTAGTCTATAGTGTAGTCTATAGTCTAGACTATACAATAGACTATAGTCTAGTCTATATGCTAGTCTCTATTATAGTCTATAGTCTAATAAAAAGTCTAGACTAGTCTATAGTATAGTCTGTAATCTGGTCTATAGTTTAGTCAATAGTCTTGTCTATAGTCTAGTCTGTAGTCTTATCTATAGTCCAGTCTATAATCTTGTCATTAGTCTAGTCTATGGTCTTGTCTATAGTCAAGTAGATAGTCCAAAGTCTAGTCTACATTCTGGTTTATAGCCTGGTCTATAGTCTAGTATATAGCCAAATCTATAGTCGAGTGTTTAGTCTAGCCTATAGTCTAGTCTTTATGCTAGTCTATGCTATAGTCTAGTCTAGTTTATATTCTAGTCTATAGTCTAGTATATAGTCTAATCTAGTCTAGTCTAGTTTATAGTATATTCTAGTCTAGTTTATAGTCTATTCTGTAGTCTAGTCTAATCTATAGTCTAGTCTATAGTCTAGTCTTTAGTCTAGTCTATAGTCTGGTCTTTAGTCTAGTCTATAGTTAAGTAGATAGTCTAAAGTCTAGTTTTTAGCCTGGTCTATAGTCTAATCTATAGTATAGTCTTGTCTATAGTATGAAGTTTAGTTTTTATTCTAGTTTATAGCCTGGCCTATAGTTTAGTATATAATCTAGTCTATAGTGTAGTCTATACGTAGTCGAGTCTATAGTCTAGTCTCTATTCTAGTATAGTCTAATCTATAGTCTAGTCTATAGTCTAGTCTATAGTCTAGTCTATAGTCTAGTCTATAGTCTAGTCTATAGTCTAGTCTATAGTCTAGTCTATAGTCTAGTCTTTAGTCTAGTCTATAGTCTGGTCTTTAGTCTAGTCTATAGTTAAGTAGATAGTCTAAAGTCTAGTTTTTAGCCTGGTCTATAGTCTAATCTATAGTATAGTCTTGTCTATAGTCTAGTCTATAGTATGAAGTTTAGTTTTTATTCTAGTTTATAGCCTGGCCTATAGTTTAGTATATAATCTAGTCTATAGTGTAGTCTATACGTAGTCGAGTCTATAGTCTAGTCTCTATTCTAGTATATAGTCTAATCTAGTCTATAGTTTAGACTATATTCTGGACAATAATCTTGTCTATAGCTTGGGCTATAGTCTAGTCTATATTCTAGTATATAGAGTAGTCTATAATCTAGTCCATAGTATAGGTTATAGTTTAGTCTAGTGTAGACTATAGTCTAGCATATAGTCTTGTATATAGTCTAGTCTATATTCTAGTCTATGATGTAATCGGTAGTCTATTCTATAGTGAAGTATATTGTGTAGTCTATTATTAAAAGACTACATAGTCTTTTCTATATTCTAGTCTATAGTGTAGTCTATAGTCGAGTGTATAGTCTAGTCTATAGTCTAGTCTTAAAACACTACCTTTCAATTGAATCTAGTTTAAGTGAAATCATGTCAGTACTTTTGAATTAATAGCAAAATAAAGAAAATTGATATAATACCATAACAATTTCAAAAATCTGGCAACATTGGTGAGTTAATTTTTACTAGAGAAAGTAATTTAAATTATAAACTTACGAATTACTTTAGTTCCACTCAATTCTATTGAATATTTTCTAAGTTATAGCAATTTAAAAAATCCCTTAAATTAACCAATATTCCAAAATACGACAACCCTGACACGACATAGGTACAGCGCCATCTATTGGTTGGACACATGGTTCTTCAGCAAAACAAAATTTGTGTACCACAGACACATATTTTCAAAACGTTATAACTCGAAAACTACTAAAACGATTTTGTTAAAATATTTATGATCTTGTTGGGAATATATTGAAGATTTGGAAAATTTACTTATCCAGAGTTGCCACCATATTAAAAGTGGCGAAAACTGAGTATTACTCATATTCATTTTCCAAACATTGTAACACAAAAACTACGGAAACGATTCCGAATAACTTTATATCAACATGAAGCTATTATTTTGAAGATTACAAAAATTTATTTTGTCAGCATTGCCACCATGTTAAAAGTGTGAAAAAACTTAAAATGATATAACGTACCTCCTAAATATGATAATGAAACTACGGAGGCAATTTCTTTCGAGTTCACATACATACTTACGTTTGTAGGAGTTATGTTGTAGATTATGAGAAGCCAGAGTTGCCACCTCTAAATTTACAATAAAACTGAAATTTTTCAGATTTTTTTGAAAATACGATATTGAACTTGGTAACAGATTTCGTTCAAGTTTATATGAATATTTTAAATAATTTTTTTCACCACTTTTATTCAGATGGCAACTCTAAAATTTACAATTTTTAAATCTTATAATTTATAAAATATCGTCAAATAAACTTGATCGATGTCGGATCAGTAGTTTTAGTATTATTTATATCGTTTTGGAAATGTATTGAGTTGAACCAACTTTTTTGCCTTTTTCAACATAGTGGCAACTCTGTCAAACTAATTTTTACAAACTTCAATAAATGCTCTAAAAGTCATTGTAAAGTTAATAGAAATCGGTATGTTAGTTCTAGCGTTATAAGGTTTTAAATATACCTATCTGTTGTCCTCTGCATTAATCTTTTAATAGGATGGCAACTCCTGCAATATAAATTTTCTGAATCTTCAATATAACCCCAACAAGTCAGTATAAATTTCATTAAAATCGGTTCAGTAGTTTTTGAGTTATAAAGCTTTGAAAATAGGTATCTGTTGGCTGCAATTTTTCACTTTGTCAAAACACAGTGTATCCAACCAATAGATGGCGCTGAACCAAAGTTGTGGCAGGGTTGTCGCGTTTGGAAAAATTATGCCAATTAAGTGATTTTGAAAATTGCTATAACTCTTGAACTATTCTATCAACATTAATGAAACAGGTGTCAATAGAAAGGTTATAATTAAAGCTTTTTGTTCTATTAAAAATTGTTTTACCAGGGTTACCAAACTTTTCCATACATCTTATTATTTATTATGTTAAGACTTTTTAAATTTGTATTTCTCAAAAGTTATTATTATGATTTCGATCAAATTGGTGTCAATCGGTAAGGGAATATTTAAGCTAAATGTTGTTTCTAAAATAAACTTACCAATATTGCCAGATTTTTAAAATTTGCTATACTTTTGTAAATTTTTAGATGAATACTATAACTCTCAAACTATTCCCTCAATTTTAGTAAAACTAGTGTCAATCGGTAGGTTTTAATTTTGTTATTGGTTGTTGTAAAAATTGTTTTACCAGGGTTGCCAGATTTTACACTTTCCTTATCGGTAGGCTTTGTTTGAAAAATTTTATTTTACGAGTTAAATAAAATATTAAAATTGTTTTAAAAACTACGATAACATTTTCGAAATTGTATACACTTCTTTATTTATATTACATTAATTAATTCATAACTTAATAACAATTCATAACAATTTCAAATTCCATTCCATTTTACATAATCTAACTTATAGAAAAAATATTAAATTTTTTCGGATAAAAATTTCAATTCAATAAATTCAAATTTCACTAAATTTCACTTTAAATAGTATAAAACTTACAATCAACAGGGGTAATTTGTTTATGCTTAAAAATATTTAACAATAAATACAATTGTTAATTGGTTTAATAAACATTTAATGCATTTAATTATTTAATTTTTATTTGTTAACTTTAAATGTTGTCTTTGATGATGTTTACGTACCATCTGAAGAGAAGCAAACTCTTTGTTACAAATCAAACATCTAAAAAAAGAATAGAAATAAGTCGTCAAGACTGGACTATAGTGAAGACTACAAACTGACCTATATACTATTCTATAGTGAAGCCATAGTCAAGATTATGGACTATTATATAGCCAAGATTATAGACTATAATGTAGTCAAAACTATAGTCTATTCTTTATTGAAGACTTTAGACCATTCCATAGACTATAAACTATTCTATAATGAAGACTATAGACTTTTATATAGCCTATTATATATAGACTATTATATAGCCAAGACTATAGATTATTTTATAGTAAAGACTAAAGACTATTCTATAGTCAAGACTATAGACTATTCTATAGTCAAGAGTTTAGACTAATATATAGTCAAGACTATAGACTATTCTATAGTCAACACTATAGACTATAGTCAAGACTATAGGCTATTCTGTATTCAAGACTATAGACTACTCTACAGTCATATAGTCTATAGCCAAGACTATAGACTAATTTATAGTCAAGACTAAAAACTATTCTATAGTCAAAATATAGACTATTTTATAGTAAAGCTATAGTCAAGACTATAGACTATTCTATAGTCAAGACCATAGACTAATCTATAGTCAAAACTGTAGAACATTCTACAGTCATCTATCTATAGCCAAGACTATAGACTATTCTATTGTCAAGACTATTCTATAGTCTGGACTATAGACTATAGTCTAGATTATATAGTCTAGACTATAGTCTATATAGACTATAGTCAAGACTATATACTATTTTTTAGCCTATAGTCAATACTATAGAGTATTGTATTGTCAAGACTATATACTTATTTATAGACAAGACTGTAGACTATTCTACAGTCTAACCTCTAAACTATTCCATAGGCAAGACTGTAGACTATTCTATAATCAAGACTATAGACTATTCTATAGATAAGACTATAGAGTATTATATATGCAAGACTAACTATTCTATAGTCAAGACTAGACTATTCTTTAGTTAAGACTATAGATTATTCTATTGTTAAGACTAGGCTATTCTATAGTCAAGACTATAGACCATTCTACAGTCATATAGTCTATAACCAAGGTTATAGACTAATCTATAGTCAAGACTAAAAACTATTCCATAGTCAAAATATAGACTATTTTATAGTACAGCTATAGTCAAGACTATAGACTATTCTATAGTCAAGACCATAGACTAATCTATAGTCAAGACTGTAGAACATTCTACAGTCATCTAATCTATAGCCAAGACTATAGACTATTTTATTGTCAAGATTATTCTATAGTCAGGACTATAGACTGTAATGTAGTCAAGACCATAGACTATTCTATAGTCAAGGCTATAGCCGATTATATAGACTATTCTATAATCAAGACAATGGACTATTCTTTAGTCAAGACTATAGACTATTATATAGTCAAGACTATAGACAATTCTTTAGTTAAGACTATAGACTATTCTATAGTCAAGACTAGACTATTCTATAGTCAAGACTAGACTATTCGTTAGTCAAGACTATAGATTATTCGTTAGTCAAGACTATAGATTATTCTATTATTTAGACTAGACTATTCTGTAGTCAAGACTATAGACCATTCTTCAGTCATATACTCTATAGCCAACACAATAGACTATTTTATAGTCAAGACTATAAACTATTCTATAGTCAAGACTATATACTATTCAATAGTCAAGACTAGACTATTCGTTAGTCAAGACTATAGATTATTCTATTGTTTAGACTAGACTATTCTGTAGTCAAGACTATAGACCATTCTACAGTCATATAGTCTATAGTCAAGACTATAGACTATTCTATAGTCAAGACTATAGACTATTCTATAGTCAAGACTATAAACTATTCTATAGTCAAGACTATATACTATTCTATAGTCAAGACTATAGACTATTCTATAGTCAAGACTATAGACTATTATATAGTCAAGACTATAGACTATTATATAGTCAACTGGTTTATAATCAAGACTGGTATATAGGTAAAACTATAGATTGGTAATTATACTTATTTTTGTACTCACTTTTTCTGTCTATGGCCCTGAACATGTTTCTGTAATAGAGTTATGAATCTGAATATTTTATTACATTTGGCGCACTTATATTCCTGTTTTTTATGCAGCCTCCTAGAATAGAATAAAAATATTACTCTTTGGCAATTGCTGTTTCAAAATTAAGACATTCGACTATTTGATAAATTTAAAAACTATATACAACCGATTACAAATTCTTAGTTAGCTTTTAAATATATCTTTTAATTAAATAAAAGAGACTAGATATGATCCTATAATATCTGTTATAAAAAAACCACAAGAACTTACCTTTCATGACTGTTGCGATTTGTTATATCTGAGAAAGATCTATAACAAAACCTACAGTAATATGGTTTTATTCCGGTATGCAGGTTATTATGACACAAAAATGCTTGAATTTGACTAAAACTTTTCTTACAAATTCTAAACGGAAAAAAATTTAAGTTTAAATGACTAGCAAGGGTCAAATTGCGCCATTCGATATCGATGGAAATTTCAATAGAATTCCGGAGATTGCAAACGATATTGAATGCCGTAATTTGTCCCCTGATCAAAGATGCGTCTATAAAAATAGTTATTAATAACAATTCCTCGATCCCAAAAGGAATATGTAAAAACTATTTTCTTATAACTTCCAAATGGACTTTTTAAAGACGCAGCTTAACTTATTTATCCACTTACTTGCACTGATGAGGTCTACTATGGGTGTACATATGATGACGTAACAGGACATAGGTACCGTATCTATTCTTACAAATTCTGCAAGTATACTTGGTTGTTCCCTTTTTAGACCTATTGGTAATACTGGATTTTGACGTTGTTTTCAATTTATCTTTTATAAGAGTTCTAGCTGTTGGTTTTATACTTTCCGATTCTGATTTCGCCTTTTCATTTTCTCTTTTTGATTCAGTTTTATTTGTGGCTTTCGCTTCCTTATTTTCCTTTGCTTTTAGTTTATGTGAAGTTTTAGTAGCTACATCCTTTGCTTTTCTTTTGATTGGACTTTGTTTGGGCGGAGCATTTTTTAATTTTAACAATAACACAATGGGTTCTTTTTCAATTGGTTTTGAAGTTTTTTCTATAATTTCTTTATCTTTAGCATTATTTTTTGTTACTACACGATATTGTTTAATATTACCGCAACTGTTAGATGGATTTTCCAGATTATTTTCTTCTTTAGTTTCAGTTGCAACTATATTTTCGGAATTTTGTGATAATTCGATAGTAACTGGAGGATCCAAGTTTGATATAAAACTAGAAACTCGGTAATTGGTATTTGAATCTGAAATCTAAATAAGAAAACTATTAAAAAAAAAACAATTTTCCAACATCCAAATCATCGTTCCCTAATTCCCACCAATCTAATTTCTCTTACCGTAATAACATCATTACAATTTCTCTTCTCCTCCTCTAAATCCAATTCATACAGATTAATACTTCTTTCTATAAGAATTTGTATAAGTTCACGATGTCCCCTTTGACAGTCCATACGAAAGTTATTGGCTTTACATAACCTTCTTAAGCATGCTTCACATATTTTATCCGGCATATTATCGTTTTTTCTGACCTAAAATAATATGGTTTAAACATAAACATTTGTTCTTAATTGAGACAAGTTATATCGAAATTACCGACACCCCGCCACAGTCCCTTAATAAGGACCAAATATTTGTAACGACTTTATCCTCGAAGATATTATACATTTCCTCTTGTTGTTGCAAACATACTCGACATATTATCCATATTTTTGGTAAAAACATAATCACTTTATTTTATGAAACTAATTAAATTAAAATTCATAACAACAGGGATGGGAAATTGTATTAAGCGATAAACTACAGTCTAGTTAATGAAGTGGTACTACTTTCTGTTTACCAAAACTTTTAGCCTTATTTTCATGTAAGTCGTTAACAATTTAATTGTTAACTATCTACGAAATTTGTGAAAATTAGAAGAAACTAAAAAAATAGGTCGAAATGAAAACTACCACTCCAAATCGAATTTAGAACAATTTACGATTGTAGCAATTTTTCCATTCCTGATTTGCAATTGTTGTTGATTGGTAATTACTTTACTCAGTAAGAAATCAGTACTAGATTTGTTATTGTTAATTTTTTCGAGACTCTTTGATCACTAGCATCTGTTCTCGAGGAGAAATTTCAGACTCAGAGTTGTAAAAAGTTAGTCGCTATTTTTAATATTAACTAACTAACTAACTAACTAACTAACTAACTAACTAACTAACTAACTAACTAACTAACTAACTAACTAACTAACTAACTACTACTAACTAACTAACTAACTAACTAACTAACTAACTAACTAACTAACTAACTAACTAACTAACTAACTAACTAACTAACTAACTAACTAACTAACTAACTACTAACTAACTAACTACTAACTAACTAACTAACTAACTAACTACTAACTAACTAACTAACTACTAACTAACTACTAACTAACTAACTAACTAACTAACTAACTAACTAACTAACTAACTAACTAACTAACTAACTAACTAACTAACTAACTAACTAACTAACTAACTAACTAACTAACTAACTAACTAACTAACTAACTAACTAACTAACTAACTAACT